CCACAATGAAAGAAGGAGGCGGTTCAAGTGGTGTCCGAAGTGGTGGTTCAAGTAGGTATCGCAAGTGGTGCTGAAGTAGGTGGTCCAAGTGGTTGTGGTGAAGTAGGATTCCCAAGTGGTGCCTGATTTGGGAATTTTTATTGTTACAATMTGTTTGGATAACTAAGTAATACTGGTTATTGTATTTGTACTACTATGYTCGAATTTGGATAACTACGTAATACTGGTTATTGTATTTGTACTACTATGGGTTGAATTTTCATTGTTACAATCATTTATATGTGTTTCAATTATATGTGGCATAAGAACATCACATTGTTAATTTTACTTTACAAAATTATTTTTTAAAAAGTTAATATATATGATTATTCTCCCACAATCACCTTAGAACAACCTTACACTTTAAAGAAGGGTTTGTTAATGTGATATACTTTACGAAGTAAAACTCTAGAAAAATGTGTTTCTGCAAATATGATGGTGCATAATCATATGAAATGTGTTAGAAATTTCAAAAATGAACTGGACTACTGAAAATTTATATTTTTAAGTAGGTATAACTGGTTAAGCAGGTAAGACGTCAAAAGGACAACTATGTGTTCTATTTGTAACACTGAAATACTTGGGATAACTATGTGTTATATAAGAAGCACATATCTTAAATTGTGGCATAACGGCGCACACGTGAGTTTTTATTTGAATTTTCTAAACACATTTTTTGGGTTTTTTTAAACACATTTTTTTTTCAATTTTTTTGGGTTTTTATTTCAAATTTTCCCAGAAAAGTTAAAAAAAAAAGCGAAACATAATTTTTCCCAAATCGAAATCCAGGGTTTCTATGCCCTTTCTCCGATTGCGACCACGAGCTCGAAATCGAGTCTTTCTCCGCCATTTCTCATGCCAATTCGTCAACAACAACGTCTCCGTAAGTTTAATCGCCGTCAATTTAGTTTGTATTAGGAGAAATACGGATCTGAATCGCACTCAATTTTGTATAGAAAATGGGTAAATAGAAACGCATTGACATGTTTGGTGAGGAGTTCGATACTGGATCTAGCAACAACGACTCATCATCTTCGGATGACGAACTCATCCTCCCCAAATATGATTATATGGCAGATATCACTCCGACTCGTTTTCCTCTGACTCCGGAGACATGGGAACCTTCACCTATTGGCATTCCGACCATATGTTACTGTGGAAAACTAGCAGTGCTTAAGACTCAAACAATTGGGTTGTTGACTGGTAAAAACTTATACTCTTATTCTGGTGATATTCGTGTAAGTCCAACTTATCCTATTTTGTGCTTATTGTTATCCATTTTGTGTTTATTGTTATCTATTTTGTGCTTATTGTTATTCATTTTGTGGTTATGCGATAATGTGAAGTATGGAGATTGCCACATTTACAAKGAGTTGGCTGTTGCAATCTTGGAGGAGATTACTTTAACCAAAACCAAATTGGGAGAAATAGAAGATCGCCTTTTGCAAGAGCAGAAGAAGTTTGAAGAGATGCTCAATTTTTGCAAGGAACAGACCGAAAAAATCATTGAAAGCACTCAGAAGAAAGTCGATTACCTAAGAGAGATGGCTTGCAGACTTCATGCAAAGATAGAGGATTTGATGATGGAGTTGGAGAGTTGAAGTGAAGAAGAGTTTATCCCTGTTCCTTGTTTAAGTATTTTTATTTTTGTTTAAAGAATCTTTGTTTAATTTAATTATTTTTATGGTTGTTTAAGAGATCTTTGTTTAAGTACTTTATAATGGAATGGTTGTTTGAGGAATCTTTGTTTAATTACTTTTAAGTATCTTTGTATGCATACGTAGTATTACCAGTAATACCAG